GGATTCAGCATGGGTGTCCCTACTTATGGGTTTGACAGCACTTTCTGAGGAACTGGACCCCCACATGAAGGTAGGCACACACACACACACACACACACACACACACACACACACACGCATATACACACGCATGCCCAAGTGATATTCAAAATATATCAACATTTTGTATGGCTTGGATATCACCCCCAGCCATCAATCCTAAACTTCCATAGTTAAAATAAATTTTCTTGGTTTTATTGCTTTTCTGTTTGATTTCTTTAGAGGCATAAGTTATTTATATCTATTTGAGTTGCATTGTAAAAAGTATAAGTTAAACTTAAAAAATAAGAAAGCTGTGTCAAGTAAGGTGTCAGAGATACGTTGGTCCCTTTCAGAATGTTCAAGACTTTCAGCATATTCCTTGGTCTCCAATGCTTCAGAATGCTTTCCATCCTTATTTAATTCTTTAGTTTTGCTTTTAGTGGATTAGACTGCTTTATAGAGTTTCTCTCTTCCTCTCCTTCTCTCATGATACAGAGGAAGAATAGATGGCTCTCTTGTCCAAATTATGGATCTCTTACCTACTTGGTTACTAGTTGAAAATTATGTGCCAATTCCCCTGTAATGATCCCACACCAGGCTGGCCTCCTCAGGCCAATATTCCACAGGGGCGGCAGGCTGGTGGCAGGAAAACTGAGTGTGGCCCCCCACGGTGATGTCTATTGTAGACAGTGCAACTATGGGCAGAGGGCATTTCTCCAGCCTCCAGCTGCATGGCCAGTTTAGTTGCAGGCAACGTTTCCAGAGTTTAGAATCCTGGGTCTATGCAAGTCCCCAAAACTAAATCAGAACTATCCTGTGAGTGAGAATCACTTGGGGGGTTCTTAGAACAAGTCAGAGGATGACAGGCTAAGTTGTCCCCACACACCAACACATACACACACACACAGACACACACACACACACACACACACACGCACACACACCCACACACAAACACACACACACACACACACATACTTTTTCTAACACTGGATGGACATCTCTCTCATATGAATTGAATGCTTTCTTCCACCCAGAAGTATTTCACTATTTTAAGCACAGGTGAGGTTGCGTTAGCCTGTATAACTACCGAGGAGTTGTGCTCTCACCCCACACCAGAAAGTTATGCCAGAAAGACCAGCAAAATAAATGACATCGCCCATGCCAAGAAAGTTGTTTTCTTGGAATCAAGTAGTCAGTCACCTGGGCAGGATGAGCTCACTGAGTCCACCGAAGACCCTTAATCATAGGCCTCTTTGCACACAGGGGCCAAGATGCGAGTAGGAACTGACTCTCTCTTGCGGGCAGATGACACCATCCCTGCGAGCAAGAGCTTGGACTGCCTTTCCTACCTTTGCATTTGCCCCCTTTTGGGTACTAAGAACAGTAAACATCACCACCTTTGGGTCCTTGGGCCCTAAGAATGGCCTCACCCAGGTCCCCTGCTCAGCAGCAAATTCCACTCATCGTCCTCATTGTATTCTAAACCTAAAGAAAACAAGGCATCATGCCCAGCAGCTCGTCCATAAAACATTAATCACTGTCCCCTCCTTGAGAGGCTTCTGACCAGTGGAGGTATGCCCTACAGGAGTGATGGAAAAATCCTAGCGGGCAACACAGGCCTGGTCGTGCTGTGGGTGGGGGCCCTGGCACCAATCCCTCCAGTGCTTTTCCAGCCCAATCTGTGGCTATAATTTCAGGGATACTGAGGACCAGCCTGGAAACACCAACAGGGGGAGAGCCGTTCCTGCACCTACCAAGTCCTCAGAGTTCCTTGGGGTCAGAGTGGGCAGTGACTTTCTTAAGCTGCCCACCCAATTGCATGCGGGCCCTCTTTGAGCCCATGTGAACTTTGAGATGGATAATGGCACTGAAGTAAGGGCCAGGGTCATGCACGGTTGACCCCATGGAAGCTCCATCCATCTATGTTCAACGAGTTGGCTGATCCTGTCCAGGATGCCTTCGGAGATTCATTTTATTCCCCATAGACCTCTTAGCACCTCTCCAGCACCCAGAGAAAGGTATCCTCTTGATCTTGAAGGAGAAAATGATATATCAAGAAGGAAAATGTGGGTCTCCAAGGATCCCAGATTTCGAAATGTTTAGAACCTGTGATGGATTGGCAGAGTGCTTGAAAGCCAGCTTCAAGCTGATAAGAATGTTCATCTCAGGGCTCTGGCTGATGTTCCTTGGAAAATATTCCATACTTGCCAAGGTTCCTAAGGGGCTTCAGAATAGGTGGGGCAATTGTATAACTGCAGCTTTTCTGCCCTTGTGAGTTTAATGGAAAGACAAATATTCTAGGATTCGGTGACTGCTGGATTACATCCTGCTTCCCTGTAAGCCAGTTGTAGAGGGCATACTTTAGGGGGCTGGCTGAGCCAAAGCAAGTCTCAAACTTGAGCCGTGGAGGAATCTGCCACGGGAAATGACTGTGGTCAATCTCAGTAGAGACTCGGTCAAAAGGTGAGGTGCACCCCACCAAGGCACCTCACATGGGCAGTTGCTTGAATATTTAGCCACCCAGGGACAAAGGTTGAGTCCTGGAAACTTCCAGGAAATTTGCACTCTCAATTAAATTCTGATGAACAAAACAGACAGGATTCTAGTTGCCCAGGGAGCCCCACCCCATTCCAGTTATTCCTCAAATTCTCTCCTCTGTACTGGGCCAAATAGAATCTGAGCAGAACAGAGTTGGAATGCCCCCAGGGAGATAGGGGCCAGGAACACTGAGCCCCTGGGTTGTGGCTGGAATCTGGAACAGCCTGGTCCCAAAGTTAGTGTGCCTAGGCCCAGTGAGTAGCTGAGGCCTGTTTTAGTGCATTATTGTGCCTGGTGGTGCAGCTTTGCCCTTCCATTTCTCATCAACTCTGGTGTATGAGCAAGTTTAGGAGCTATTTCGCTACCAGAGACAGGGGTAGGACAAATGCTAGGGAAGCAGCTTCAGCTTGGTTGGGCCGATAGGTCTCAGACACCATATCTAGCCAGCCCTGGAATGAATGGACTTCTGATGCCAGAGGCTCCAGAGCCAGTCCTTTTCCTCCCTCATTCCTTCCTCTCACCATTCTGCAGGAGTGTCTGCAGCTGCAGAAGAGCCTGGCTTCTCCGCTGGCCCAGAGCTAAATGTAGCAGGGGGCATTGCAACAAAACTCTCCGTGGCATAATGGGAAGGACCCAATCTTTGAAGCCACACAGAACAGTTTCAACTCTCAATTCTGTGGGGGCCTTGGGAAAATTGTTTCATCTTCAGGGACCTCAACAACTTCTATAAATGTGAAACTCTCCACCTTCCAAATTTGTCATGAAAATTGGGGACAATGCACATTATATCACTGGGAGGTTCCTCACACACAGTAGGTACTCCTGAAACGCCACTTCCTGGCCTCTTCTTCAGGCTCTACCTCTGGAGTCTAGAATTCTAGGAGACATAACTCCTAGAAGCAATGCAATAAGAAAGGCTCTCCTGTGGCATGGAGGAGGGATTAAGGTGGAGCTGGGGTGCATGAGCAGGGGTGAGGGTTGAGGTAGTCGAGACCCTCACAGTGGGAAGGAGGAGGGGGCAACACAAGTAGACAAGCCAGGAAGGGCTGTGAGAGTCTCGGCACAGCCTGACAGGCAGGGCCAGGTTGCAGGGCACTAGCTTCTACAGTGYTCTGCAGCCCGATGGTGCCTCTCCCATTCACACCAGCCCATCTTCCACCAGGGAGAAACTGGGGCAGTTTGCACAGGCTGTGACAGCCCATCGACCCAGTGTGCACTGAAATAAGAAAGCCTGTTGCAGCCACGCTGTCTCAGCCCTCTTTGGGGTGATCCTGGCTCTACCTGACCAACCCTCCCTACTGTCATCAGCCAAGCCCTGCACAGAGGGAGGCAGGAGCCACCACGGATCTCTACCCTTGGTGATACATGCCCATGTGCCTACAGAGATTTCCATGAGGTTGATGGTTCTTAGAGCCTTTCAGACTCTGGGCCTCAAAGGAAGGCCCAAGCTGCCCCCATTGCCTGTTTCCTATCGCCAGGCACTTAATTTTTCAGTAGATTTGGCCCTCTTTTGAGAAAATAGGCCTACCTAAGCATGTGTGTGTGGTAGGGGTGGAGATGGGAGGAACCGGGTCTCGGCTCAACATAGCACTGCTATCTTCTGACCTTGATGACCAGTCTCTCACCCACGGGCCCCAGCTCTCTGGGGCAGAGACTGTGGGCTCAGAACATAGCACAGGTGCAGGTGGGGGTCTCAAGAGAGGCCAAGGGAAGGAGAAGAGTGGCCTGGCAGACTGCTGTTTCCTGGGCCCTCATCTGAGGAGAGTAGAGAGGGCTCATAGGATTGTCAGACTTCAGTCTTGCTTTCTCCATTCCTTCTGTCCTCCAGAACCCAAAATGTCTTCCATTTAACTGGTCAGAACCCCTGCCCCCCTCAGCTGCCCCCAGAACTCCAAAGTCAACCCCGTGAGCCCCGAAGTCTCCCTGTTTGTGGCAGAGAAACTCTGGATCCCTTTGAGGAGGTCCTGTGGTAAGGTCATGTCCTTCCCTGAGACCAAGGAGGGGTCCCTAGCAGTGGGACCAGTCTCCTCACAAACTCAGAGAAGCCCTGCAGGGACATGGCACCAAAACAAAACAAACCAAAAAAAAACTACAGGAGGTCGGAAAGACCTTACAAGTCTTTTTTCTTTATTTTCTTAACATATAATAAGATTCCAATTCCAAAGAGACATATATGAAGAGCAGAGAGATGCAGGGTCCTGACATGTAGCAGACAGAACCAGGCAGGGGTGGGTCTGTCCCTCCCCACCGTCACAACCCTCACCCCTCCTGGTCCCTGGCCATTGCCCAGGCACAAACTGAGAAGCTGAGAATAAGAGGGGTCCACCTCACAGTCCAGGGAGTAGCCAGACATGGCCTTGGTTGCAAGGATGACCAAATCATTATCTAGCTGTAGGACCTGCGGCCTCAGTTTCCTTATCTGTTAAATTGTTTAAAGGTTCCTGTTAGGGAATGGAGAAGAGAGTGTTCAGATGTGATGTGTTGGTGGACACGAAGGGCCTCTTGGTAATCCTGCTGCTTCTAAATACCTGCATAATTGTGTCTCTTGGTTTCCTTTGGCATCGTGGCTAAGGGCACAGTGGTGAAACTTCTTTGTTCCCGGTGGGATTGAATGGACTCAGGTCCTCAAAAGACTCTGCTCTGACTGTCCTGGAGCTATAGAAGGAGCCAGTCTATCAGGTCAAGGCTGACCTCTGTCCTCCAGGTCAACAGGGAAGAAAGGCAGTGGCTTGGGGTCACACAGCATGCCTGTGCAGGTCACCCAGCTGCCCACGATGCCTTTAATCACGAGCTCATGTACAAGGGAGGGCATTGTCCTCCTTGCTCAGGATCAGTGAGCAAACCCTGAGTCCACCAAGGGCATCTGCCTCCATAGACGGATCCTCATCGGGATCATTCCATCCTCAAGGTCGGGGCCTTGGAAAACCCAAGTGCTCTTAACTAAGCCCCCACCCACATGATGTTCTCCTGTGTCGACACTGGCAAGAGAAAGTGAAGAGGTGACATCATGATCCAGTCAATGCTGGGGTAGTTGGAAAGACCAACTAAAACCCAATAGGGAACATGGACACTCTTCCTTCATCCTCTCCAGGTCTTCATTCTGTAACAGCTGACCCTGAATGGGGACACTCTTCCATGGGGAACAGGCATTTCCAATGACCTGGACTCTCTGTCAACTCTCTGCTTCAAAGCTTGCCTGCACACGCGTACAGCACAGACATGTGGACCCGGCTTGCACTTGGGAAAGGGCACAGGGCAAGTAGCTGAAGTGATGCTCTGGTCTGGACTATGCCTTCTAGAACCCGTGAGGTTCTACCCTGACAGAACCCACTCGGTGCTCCCTGTCCTTGCCACTGCACAGATAGAGATCACTGAGGCCCTATGATAAGGACAACCCCACAGCCAGGCAGCAAGTCCAAGGCGGAGGCCCTGGGGCAAGCCAGGCCAAAGAAGCAAAGCTTGTCTGGAGCTTCTCCCCTCCCCACTGCACCTACTGAGATCTCTTCCCACTCAGAGCACCCCTGGGGAGCAAGGTGCGTGAGAGAAGCAGCAGAGCTGTGCCCAAGGCACCAGGCAATGATGGCGGAAACTCGGCACCGGCGGCAGCTGAGTGGTGAGTGACTTTGGGATGAGGGGGGGCTTTCTGGCACACCTCCTAACACACTCTGAGGGGACAACTAGCAGGTGAGTCCCTCTCTTTCACCTCCTCYGGTGACATCAAGGGAGTAGGTGAATTGGTAAACCCGATCCCCAGGAAGCTCTGAGGCCAGGAAACAGAGAAAGAAAGAAATAGAAATGTCCCAGACGAGGCCTGACCGTTGCAGGCCTAGCAGATGTTTGGGGAAGTGACTTTGGCCAGCTTGTCAGAGTGTCTACGATATGGATCTCAGCCCTCCCCTCCCTCTGCCCGTCCCTGCCCCACCCCCCCACGGATGCCCGTGCCAGGCCCTCTCTACTTGGGCTTCATCTCCACCCTGGAGTTGATGTCGTCGGCATCCAAGTCGTACTCCTCCACCTGGCCGCTGGTCCACACCTTCATGCGGTCTGTGAGCTCACTGCTGCGCGGGGCCAGGATGAAGTCGTAGATCAGCACAGCCAGGGCTCCCCCGATGAATGGCCCCACCCAGAAAATCTAGAAACAGAGCAGGTGCATTCAGTGGGCATCTGGTCAGGTCTCAGAAGCTCCACCAGAGGCCCTCTCCTGGGAAGCTTTCCTGAGTTATCCTCTCCCACCACCCCTGTGGATGGGCTCTCTCCTTTCTGTGTCCAGGATAGAGGTGAGCAGGGCTGATTCCAACCTGGGGACATTCTAGTGTCCCCAGAATGGGTCCAGGCCAGGTTGTGTGGTAGAAGACAGCCCCCTGCCTCTTGGGGACTCAGTACCAGACCCTTCCTGAGGAAGGCCATTCATTGCCCACCTCCCCAGTCTTAGAAGGGATTGGCCAGGAACTCACCCATCAGCAATAATTAGAGCTAAAACCCATAGAGCACTTCCTCTGTTCTGAGCTCAGCTTAGAGACAGGGAGTCCTTCCCTGCTCCTGGTGACCCTGGCAGGGAGAAGCTACCATATGCCCTCTTCACAGTTCAAAAAAACCAAGGCACTAAGAAGGTAGCTCACACTGAATCAGAAGTGGCCGGGATGGAGCCGGGTGTGGTGGTCCACACCTGTAGATGGAGCCGGGTGTGGTGGTCCACACCTGTAATTCCAATGGCTGGGAAGGCTGAGGCAGGAGGATCGTGAATTGGAAGCCAGCCTTAACAACTTGGCAAGGCCCTAAGCAACTCAGTGAGACCCTGTATCTATCTAAATAAAATACAAAAAAGGACTGGGGATGTGGCTCAGTGGGTAAGTACCCCTGGGTTCAATTCCTGGTACCAAAAAAAAGAAAGAAAGAAAGAAAGAAAGAAAGAAAGAAAGAAAGAAAGAAAGAAAGAAAGAAAGAAAGAAAGAAAGAAAATGGCAGGAATGGGATTCAACCCCAGGCTCCCCACCATGCTGCTAAGAGGACTTGGGGGCTGGTCCAAGCCTGGAGGGCAGAGGCTGGACCTAAATCCTCCTGCCATTTGATCCCACCAACCCCTTCATCTCAGGCCCCAGTTTCCTGATTTCCTCTGCCCTGGATATCTCCCAGAGCCTCGGTGATGGGAAAGGACACCATAAAGGCAGGATCAGACTCCCCATGTGACACCAAATGAGACCCCCCTCCACCCTCCCTGGCAAGTGGGTGGCTTACCCAGTGGTTGCTGAAGTTGTGGGTGAGCACGGCGGAGCCGAAGGACCGGGCAGGATTGATGCCACAGCCTGTGTAGTCGATCTGCAGGGAAGGCGAGGGGCGAATCAGAGGAGCCAAGAAAGTGACAAGGACAGAGGTGGGTGGGGGAAGAGAGAGAGAGAAAGAACAATCAGGGAAGTACAGCAAGAAGGGATGATCAGACCTGGAAAGAGGAGAGTCGGAGGTCCCTCTCCTGGGCACCCGCACCCCCAGAGCTGGACTGCCCATCGCCTCACCCCATGGCAGGAGTTCCAACCCAGGGTCCCATAGCAGCCCTGGCCCTGCCCTCCCCACTGCCACCCCACCTGGGAAGGCTCCCCACTTACGGCCAGCAGGTGTCCCAGGGCTACAGAGAGGCCGATGGCAAGGGGGGCTGAGCCGCCAAGGTCACGGCGCCTCCGGTCGGTGGTGGCCAGCACACACAGCACCAGCTGCAGGGTGCCGATGATCTCGATGCCCAGGCCCTGGCCTGAGTTCACACCAACAGCCAGCTGTAGGGAGGGGGGCAGGGAGGCCCAGTGAGCAGGGCAGGCAGCAACTGTGTCTGGAGACCCCCAGGACTCCCAGGATGAGGCGCAAAAGACCAGACCCTCAGCTCCTCACTGGGCCTAGAGGGGCCAGACCCCACCCAGGCACCAGGGCAGGTAGTGACAATAGGGCCTTGTCCCCTGTCACAACTGTTGATGAAGCTCCTGCTCAGCAGCCCCAGTGCTTTTGGACCCTGCCCTTCTCTGCCCCAAGGCCTGGGTGGGGCAGGGTCCCTGCATCAGTGACTTCCAGGCTCCAGTATCCTCCAATAGCCAAGGATCGGGGAGGGGCAAGGGGCGAGTCCCAGGTCCAGGGGAAGACCATCAGGGACTTTCATGGAAGAAGATAAGCAAGTGGGTAGGAGGGCCTTGTGAACATGGCTTCATCTCCACAAAGCCCAGAACATTCTACCCCACGTCCTGCTACATCAAAAAAATCCCCGAGCATGGAGACTGTTGTTTTGTTTTAGTACCAGAGACTACTTATCACAGAGCCTCACCCCCAACCCTTTCTATTATTTTATTTTGAAACAGTCTCACTAAGTTGCTGAGGCTAGCCTCCAACTTGCAATCCTCCTGCCTCAGCCTTTGCGTCGCTGGGATTAGGACCTGTCCCACCGCACCCAGCTGAGAGTTTTCTCTAGTTGGCTGTCCCACTCCCTGTCTCTCCTGTTGCCTTTGGCCTTGCCCTTCCCATCATCCCTCTTTCTCTCCTCTCTCTCTTTCCTGGCCCTGCCTTCCCTCTCTTTGGCCACATAGGCCCCCGCCACTACAGTCTGGCTGCCACTGCTCCTGGGCCACTTTTAGAAACATGACTCATGGAAAAAGAAGAGAATAAAAGCTGCCATGAGGTCACTGGAGCCCTCTCTCTCCCTGTAGCTGCCGCAGGAAGACCCCTCTTCATGGAGTCCCTGCACCTATTCCAAGTGGGGTGGTTCCCGGGGCCGGGTGCACCCACGCAAGGGAGGTGGACCATGCTGACAGTCTCACTTGCAAAGATGCCCAAAGGCACCTCTTGGGCCGCTCTGTCCTAACAAACCAGAGATGGAAGTCTCACCTCCTAGCTTCCAGCCTGAGAGTATGGGGGTGTCTCCCAGGATTCTCTAAAATCCTAGGTGGGGGGCATACCTCCGCTCCTCCAGAGGTTTTCCCAGCTCTGCCCGAGGCCACCGCACAAAGAACAATTCTCTTCCCGCCTTTGTCTGCAACACTGGCTGGGAATGACTCACATCCCCTCCCCTGCCACACAGCCCCAGCTCTAGGTGTTTTCTGGCTGACCCCAGAGCTCCATCCCTCTGGCTGGCCAGCCCTCAGGGCAATGCCCACACTTCTCTTCCCACCCCAATGTCTGCTGGTGGGATCAGAAGCCCCCTGTTCGGGGTCTGGCTGTTTTACTTGCTGGCAATGTGAGCAAGAACCGACCCTCTCTGGTCGTCAGTTTCTGCATCTGCAAAATGGATCTAATGGTCCCCTCTAGAGCCTTGGGAAGCCTCAAAGGCAATGGGGGCTTTCTCCAACATTCGAAAGGGCTGCAGAGGCAGGAGGGGTCAGGGAGGTGGGTGGGGCTCCTGCTCTGGTTCTTTCTCATCATATCCACAGGATTTGGAGACAGGCAGGAGGGGAAAAGACTGCGCTGCACAGGGGTACAGAGATGGGAGTGAGGGTAGCTGGAACTACCGACAGGCCTCCCCGGAGCTGGGATGGCTTGACAGGGGGGAGCTGCGAGGACAGGTTCATCCATACTCACCCTGGGAGCCTGAGCCCACTGTGAACTTCAGGCTCCTCTTTTGCTCCTGCCTCTGCTCTCCAGAGCCGGCCTAATTGCTAGCTGGCAGGAATCCTGAAACCAGCCTTTCCTCGAGGATGAAGGAGACATTGCTGTAAGTGGCTCCTGTGCTTCCCCATCCCACCCTTCTCACAGATGCACTTATCTCTTTCTCTGTTCTTAACCAGGTCTGAGAGTCCCTGGCCCTACCCAAAGGCAGCCTTTTCCATGCTAAGTGAGCAGAACAGCTCTGGTTCCAGGCCCAGGGCTCTGAAGCGGCAGCCACCTGGCCTGTGAACTCCACAAGGAACCCCCTTTCCAACTACCGAGAATCATGGGGCTGGCACCTTCCTCTTCCAACACCACCACCACCAGGAAGCCTCCCCTGATTCCTGCTGAACCTTTCTTCCACTGCCGAATGCACTTGAGTTAATCAGATCTGGGAAAACTTAATAATTCATCATTGGAAGGGGCAGTTAAAGGTTTATGGAGACTTGATGTCCTAGCAAGAGCAGGTAAAAGATTAGAGCCATAGGTGACTGTGTTCAACCCATTGAATTTGAAACAATTGCTTAAATAGGACCAATATCATATGTAGTCACTTATTATTGGAAGTGTGTGTGTGTGTGTGTGTGTGTGTATGTGTGTGTGTGTGTGTTTGTACATTCCCACATAGTTTTCCCTGGCCTGGTTCTTCTATTACATTGATTAAAGTAAAAACATAACAGTCAGTTTTCTGGCTGCCAGTATGAATAATAGAATAATCCACACCATTCTTCAGAAGTGTCAGAAATATACAAACTCTCCAACCAAGCCTAGAACCCATGTCAGCTCATCATTTTGGGCCCCATTCAGAACCAGCAGCTCCAAGCCTTGGAAGGCTGTCAGGGTCCCAGGCTGGAATTAACTTCGGCCCCATGCTGCCATGTCCTCATTGAACTCTGCACATCCTGGGGAGAGAAGCCAGTGTTCCCCAGGGAGGGGGTGGGTGTATTATCTCCTTCTGGTTGGGAGCTCCATCCACGCCCTGCCCAAATCAGCTGAGGAGAGCTCCATGTGTGCTCACAGAAGTGGCAGAAAAGTCTAGTTTTCTGGACCTCCCAGCTTCTCTAGAGGCAGACTGGCTCCAGGGAATTCTCTGGATGCAGGACCTGTGTTTGCTTTCTAGCTGGAAGAAGATAGAGCCATCACTGGACTCTGGGGCCTTATGAGTTGGTGTGTGCAGAGGCTCAGCGAGATGACAGAGGGGAGGTGGAGGCCCCCGGGGAGGAGAAAGCAAAGCCAGGATCCTCACCCCCTGCAGGTGCCACTCCTAGGCTGGCCATCGAGGGAGCTGGCCGTTCCTTGGTTGGACTGGGAAGCTAGTTCCACAGACTGCCAGTGTGTCCCAGGCTCCAGGACAGCCCAAGACTGACCTCACCATGAAATGGGATCARAATCCTCCCTGCCACCCAGGGGCAGGCCGATGGGGTAGCTTTTAAGACCCAGGGCACCCAACTTGGCCTGGGTACCCTGGCACCCCATCCCTGGGAAGCAGCAGGCTTCAGAGCCAGACCTGGCTCAGGCTCTGAGCATTTGCTCTCGAAGAAAAGTGAACAGGAGACATGGAAGCCTCTTCTACCCGCCCAGAGCCTGCAGGATTCAGCACTGGGGAGGGAGGGGAGCCTTGTGGGCCCTACGGTGCCACCTCTGTGAGTGTTCACACGTGCACATGGGGGTGTCCATGGCTTTGTTGATTAGTGTCTGCTGTATCTACTGAGAACCATGTGTCCAGGGATGAGTCTCTCCCTTTTTTGTTAAACCATGAGAGACTTATTACATAATAATTAAATTAAAAAATCTGTCAAAGAACTACAAAAATCCATAATCCTGTGTGCCCTAAACACTGTGGCCTAAAAATAAACAGTGGAAAGATTGACAGAATGACAAGGAGCACTGGATTGATCCACTCCCAGAGTGAAAAAATTTAACGATCCTCCCTTAGAAATTTGGAGAACAAAGCCATCCAAAAAATGCTAATAACAGGAACAGGGAGGAATTGAACAGAATTAACAAGCTTGATCTAAGGAATAGAGAAAAAGAACAACCCGGCTCCCCCAAATTAGAGGATAAGCACTTTATTTAAGCCCACAAGGGACATTTAGACCAACTGGTCAGGTACTGGCCAAGTGTGCCTGACCCATCCGTGAACCATGTCACACATGACACCAGCTCTTAGCCAGACACGCTCTGCATGGCAGGGGTCTGCCCAGTGTGAGGTCCCAGGTGTGTTTGCATGCATGTCTCTGGTGACACTTACACACTGCAGGAGCCACTAATGGCTGAGGAGGTGGGTGATGGGGAAGGGAAAGAGCCCCCTTAAGTGAGAAGCAGCAAGTCTCAAAGGGCCCTTTATATGCTCCCATAAGCCATTTCATCTTCCTGACAAGAAACAATAAACAAAGCTATGGCTTCCCCCTTCCCTCCCTCCTCCATTTCCTTACTCCAGGGCAGGGAGAGGAAGAGGCTCCACTGAAGAACCGCCACCCACCCCCCCAGGATCCCAGGGCCTGAATGGGACATCCAGCCATGAGTCTCCTGTGTGCCCCCCCCGTGTGTGCCATATGCATATGTACTAGTGAGTATATTTGTGCAACATGAGTGTGTGCACCAGGCAGCGAAAACAATCAAGGACRGAGAGGCAGGAGGCGGGAGGGACGGTCCTGCCCTGACATGACCCCCTGAGCAACTTGACAGGTCTCCATGCATCTATGGGCCTCAGTTTCCCCAGTAGTAAAATGGAGGCCTTGGCCCAGGCCGGAGCCCCAGGCAATCTCCAGGATTTCTCCTTCTTGACCTCGGGCTGGCACCCTCCAGGCCAAGATTCAGAAACCTGAGTGCAGGACCCCTCTGTGGGTCTCAGACATAGCCCAGATCCTATGTCACAGAACCTCCCTGCCACTCCACTGTAGCTCTGCAAACCAGGCACCTCCAGAGCAACCTCCCTGCTGAGAAGATTCATCTTGCCCACCCCTGGGGACAGGGAGCTTATTAACTTGGAAGCAGCTGCTTCCCAAATGAAAACTAATTCTTCTTTACACTGAGCAGAAACCCGCTGCTGAAAGGAGCCCTGACTGGAACGTCAGGCACTGAGAGGAACTGCTACTGGGGTGGAGAACAGACATTTCCAGCCTTTTCTGCCATCTCTGAGTTGTGGGCTCCAGCCTTGGGGTGTGCCCACCTCACCGGACAGCAGCTTAGATGAGTGCAGACAGTTCCTCCCTATGGCCCTGAGCACCATGCCACTGCAGCTCCTCCGGTCCCCAGGGAAAGGCCTGACTGAGGGGACCCGGACCACCCATAGGGTCTCAGGAACATTTTCCTGTCCATATTTTCAAATGTGAGGCTCCAATCTCAGCTGCTTGGAAGACCCCAGATTCATTGGTGCTTCTACAGGGTAGGGTTCAGGGACCCCAGGGAGCCTCTGCCAGCAAGAACCCAAGACTCCTTTACCCCCAGGACAGCTCCCAAGCCAGCCCCCAGGATCTGCCTGGGGAAAGGCCTAGTGGGCTAATGCTGGACGACCCCTGCTGGGTGGGGCCCTAGAGAAAGTGGGGGCTCTCTCTGGGCCCTGAGGTCTGGTTGGGCAGGACTGCCGAGTTGGATTGGGATGAGCTTATAGCCCCACCCCACACTTCTGGAAGCTTGCCTGACCTGCAGAGGGGGCTGGGGTCCAAGGGAGAGGTGGGGGCAAGTTCTCCCTAACAAGGYACCCCAATGGGTGGGGTGCCCTCTCTGAGCATTGCCCCTTTGGATGAGGGCTCCCGGGGTGAGCCTAGTTAGGGCCAAGCGTCCAGGTGGGCAACATCGGCATTGGCCAGGCTGCTGGGAGGGCTTTACTAGGGGAGACAGCCTCAGAATTTTCCACAGTGAGGGAAGTCTCCGCCGCAAAGCTCCTACCTCTCCGTGCCCTCCCCCTCATCTGGTTCTGGCTGGAAACAGTAATTATACGTCCCAGCTAGGGCACCATCAGCCAGCCCCCAGCCTCTCCCGGGCAGGATCATTAGAACTCTGGTTTTCCTTTCTGCAGCCCACACCTAAGCCCTGGAGGAAGCAGCAGGGGCCTCAACTCTGAGACAGAGCTGGTGGCAGTTCTATAGCTGGGGAAACTGAGGCCCAGGACACTGGGGAAGAGGAGGCATTTAGGACTGAGGCCCTGAAGCAACAGGTGGAAGCATTTTCTTAGGCCCCAAATCAGCAGAGCTGAGAGATGGTCCCAAAGAAGTTAGGTTTGCCCTCTGCCTGAGCCTCCAGGGTGGCTAACTCACAGGCTCTGGGAATGCAGTCCCTCTACGTGCTGTCAGACACTGGCCTCAATCTGGAGCCCACCACTCTCTGGAACCCCAGACTCCAACTCTGACCCCCAGTCCGGCCACACCCAATGCTCCCAAGCCACGGCCTCCATGGCCCCCTTGCCTGAGCACACGCAGTTATCTACCTAGAGTTTCTTCCCTCTCTGGGGAGATCTCCACATCTAAGTTCATGTGGCTCCTCCTCCCTGAAGCCCTCCTGATCCTCCCACCAGTTCAAAAGTTCCCAGGCCCCCCTTGACACCTCTTATCACACCTGCCTGCTGCCCTCTATCAATAGGCAGCTGTGCACAGGGCTTATCTTGCCCCAGGCCTGTGGGCTCTGGCTGACCCAGCCCTGCACTCAGCACATAGCAACCCCCGGCTACAGGGAGCTGGCGGAGGGGAAGAATGGAAACAGCTGGCCCATGCTGTAGGCCCTCGGCATCCTCCACTTCCCAAGCCAGCCACGCCCTGCTGTGTCCCATCACGGATCAGAACCAGGGTCACCTAGGCCTAGTTAGTTGTGAAGGTTTACATAGGTGTTAGTGACTGGGTCAGGGCAGAGACAGGCCAGGGTAACTGTCAGCCTCAGAGTTACTCACCCTTAGCCAAAATTGGGGCTTGGCTGTTAGGACCAGCCAGGACCCTACAGGCTGGATGGTCTTTCTAGGGTATATACTGAGCCCTGACTCAATTGAGAAAGTGGTCCCCGGAGGACACCCCCTGACTCATCCTAACCACTTCCTGCCACATTTTTCCCCCTATTTTCTTTGGAAATCTCCATGCCAACCACTTACCCCACCCAGGTTTGGCCAGGGTGGAGCCAGGGAATAGAGGGGCTGCCAGAACCTCCCCGGGGGCATGGAGGAAAGAGTGTGTCACCTGCTCTAATGACTGTGCTCTGACCCTCTGGAGTCAGGGAGGCCACCAAGACTCCGCCAGATCCCAGGGCCAGTGTTGGGGGGAAACTCTTTGGGGGGCATTCCTTCTCTGTTTCTAAGCCTAGGCGTGTGTTCCTGAACCCCCAAGACCATTGTCTGGATAGGGCAGCACCAGATCCCCACAACAATGACTAGTCCCCTTACATTCAGCACTGACCCTGTGGGGGTTCCTCTTAACCAAACCCTCCTGGGCTGGGTGATTAGCTTAAGCCAACATGAAACAGTTAGCCTGGGCACAGCCAAGGGATGTTACCAGACCGAGGCTCCTTCTTGAGCCTGAGGATGTCAGTTCCAAAGAAACTCAACCAGTTAGTAGCAGACAGGACTTGAACCCAGGGCACCTGCCTCCTAGCCCAACATGGGGCCCCACACATGAGGCTGCTCCATTTTCTCCTCCATATGCAACCTGCCCAGGCCAGGTATTAGGTGACTCTGGAAAATGGAGGCCAGAGAGGGCATAAGGGGCCCCACCCTCCTGCCCCTGCCTCAGATGCCTATACTAGAGATGCAAAGCCTTCTCCAGCCACTCTGTGGGTCCTGCCTGGACCTTGAGTTAGGAGAAGCAAAAGGGTGGGACCCACATCCATCCTACCCAGCATGAACTTGACCCTGTGCACCTGAGGTCACCCACCTCTGCTCCTGCTGGAGAGACAGAAGCCTGGAGGGGCATAGCCTCCCCCAGCTCCGTTCCTTACACCTGCTGCAGCCACATCTTCCCGGGCTAAAGTCTAAACTCCAGTTGCAGAGCTAATCTTCAATCTTGGGCTGAGCAGAGGTTGGCTCAAAAGAGGGCTGCTGAGGTGTCACTGTGACACAAGAAGTGCTAATCCCCCACGGCAGGGCCACGCCAGTTCCCTCTGCACCAGACTTTAACCCAGCCTCCCTGGCTGCTGGCACCAAGACCTGAACTTTGACTGGGACACAAGAGGATTGCAATTGCCCACTGCCATCTCCAAGGAGCCCTTGCTGTCTCCTGACGTCCTGCACCTGCCTGCCCTGCTGAGCCCCGCAGCCTCATTCCTCTATCCTGAGTTCCTCCTCTCTGCTCCGAATCTCTTTCCCTCCTCCGAGGGTGTCCCCCACCCGCTGCCTGCTTGCCTCAAAGACATCCCTCAAGCCTTAGCAGCCACACAGGCCAAACTGTCCCCTGTTGAGGCCCAAGGGCACTCAGTGTTTGCACTTGGCTGAGGAGCTGGAAAAGCCCAGGTCTGTGACAGCAGGCAGCCGCCACCAACAGCCACTTAACTGTGCTAAGTAGCCCGGGAGTGATTATTTTCAGCAACTGCCACCCAGTTGCTAACATCTGTTTGTCCTCCAAGCCAGGAGCAACAGGCACATGCTGTTTGTTACACACTCACTCCCACACACAAATGTGCAACATAGCTTACACAGGCTCAGAGACCCATGTCCACAGAAACATGCACACCTGCGACTTTACACACACAAACACATATGCCACACCCCTCAGCACCCAGGAACTGTGGGGCCAGCCCTGCCTTCTATCCTCACTGCCATCCAGGAAAACGACCTGCAAACAGACCCTGGGAGAGTTTTCATTCCTTTATCTTTCCCGGATTCCCAGGGGCAGAGGAATGGAAAGGGGCGCTTGCCCTGCTTCCTAGGGGAAGTTGATTTAGGGACCTGTGTGAGTGTGGGGGGCTTCCCTGAGGATGTCCAAAACACACACTTGCAGAACTTGCTGCAGACATGCAGACGTCTCGTTCAGCCTGGCTGGGGATGCCAGGTAGAGTTTGCCCGGGTGCAGGGCTACAGAGCGGGGAGCGGCTGCCCAGGCCGGACTGAGGAGGGCCAAGAAACTACAGTCAAGGGTTGAAGAACTCCAGCCTGAAGTTAGCTGCCTTCAGAGCTCATTCCTCACACTAAGGTCTCTGCAGGGGACTTTGGCACGACATTTTTCTCTGGCTCTCTGATTCCCACAGTGCTTGGCAGAAAACATGTCCTGGGCCGCAACACAGCTGAGTTCCAGCCCCAGCTCTCTACATGACCTCCAGCAACCTCTTGTCCTCCCCATTCTTCAGTGTCCCCATCTGCGCAATGGGTAGAGGATGGCACCAGTACCCGCTCTGCACCATTCTAGAACCCCCCACCCCCAGCCTGGGRTCCCCCACTCACATCATTGCGGCCAAGTGAGTTGCCGGGCAGGGAAGAGGTGACGCCYGAGAGGATGGCAGTGGCGACGATGGCCCCCACGCACTGGGCGATGATGTACATGACCGCCCGGAAGATGCTGATCTGGCAGCTGAGCAGCAGCCCCAGTGTGACGGCTGGGTTGAGGTGGGCACCGCTGATGTGGCCCACACTCTGGGCCAGAGTAGCGATGCTCAGCCCGAAGGCCAGTGACACCTTCACGTTGTCCTGGACCGCCGTCTGGTTCCCCCCCACTGGGTAATTGAAGCCCAGGGCCGAACCAATGCTGATGAAGACAAAGAGGGTCATGGCCAGGAACTCGGCCACCACGGCCCTCCAGAAGATCTTCTTCTTGAACTCACTGGCCATGCTGGCAGGGGGCTTGGCCGGAGACCGCTGGCTGCCTGGTGCTCAACTCCCTCGAAGGGCTGAGCCACAGCCTGGGCTGGGCCTATTTATAGGGCTGGGGGGCGGGGGGAGCACAAAGGGAGGAAGGCCTCTCCTTGCTCCTGGCCCGCCCCACACCGCACGGGCCTCCTCTCTGCGATGGATGCAGACACGGCTCTGCTGTCCGCCTGCCAACTTTTTTCCTTCCTCCTCTCCCCCTCCCTCCCTCCCTTTCTCCCTCCGCCCTCAGCCCTGCCCAGCCCGAGGAGGCAGGCAGGAGGCAGCCGTGGCTCTAATAGGCTTTGGGAAATTCCTCCAAGCTGGCCCCACTCAGGGGGCCAGAGAAATCCAGGTGTCCCCGCCCAGTGTGCAAAGCTCAGGGGGTGCCTGAGGGCAGAGCCAGGGCTCCAAAGGGGGCGGAGTGGKCAGGCTGGACTCAGTGGGTGGACGTTGCCCTCCCTGGAGGCGGGCACCGAGATCCCGACTGCCTGGAATCCCCATCCCACCGCAGAGTGGCATTACAGAGTCTGAAGTTGGCCGCTCCGGGGATCCAGTCTGGGTCTTTCACACCCCAGTTTGGGCCCAACTACTGCATGTCACTTTAGGGATGTCCCCCCGCCCCCCCACACACACACCAGCCAGGTTGCAATTGATGGGGACTGAAAAAGTACAGTGAGCTTGTCTATTGGCCACCCTCCCAGCCGTCTCAAGAGCAGGCCTGAAACAGACAGGGACATTGGGAAGCCCCAGCTCCTTGAGCCCTGCATTTGAACCAATGGTTTGAAGGAGGTAGGGGAAAATGGGGACAGTTTAGGACTTTCCTCTCATAGGCAATCGAGCTAGCAGGTCACCAAGGAGATAGTAAAACGAGAGCCCAGTTCAGAAACCAGAGAGAGGGAAAGACAGGGAGATGCAGACTGAGGGGAGGAGAGAGAGAGAGAGAGAGAGAGAGAGAGAGAGAGAGAATATGAAAATCAGAGTAGCAGGGAACAGAGTTGAACTAAAGTGGAAGAGAAAGAAAGCTCTCTGGGCAGAGGCAGGGAGACAGGCCAGGGCTGAGACAGGAAGAGCAGGAGGCCAGGAGATGAGTTTGCAGAGAGATGGGGCTGGACCTAGGGCCGAGAAGAAGCAGAAAGAAGATGAGAGGAAGGAGAAGTGCCATCCAAGTCCCTAGCAGCGGGAGGGGAGCAGCTGTGCTGCAGACCCCACAATCCAGCCTGTGTCCTGTGTGTCCCCAGCCAGCAGACCTGGTGGCAGCCAAGGAACCGAGCAAGGATCCGGACTCTGTGACAGAGCCAGCCAGGCACCCTTACGCGCAGGCATGCTGGAAGGCAAGCCAGGCCCGCAGGGAGGGTCCCTCCTTGGCCATCAGGGAGGCCCCTCTCCTCCCACTCCCCCTCCAAAGTCCTCATCAGGAGCATTGGTTCCTGCCCACTTACAGGAGGGAAAGGACGTCTCTGAGTTCAACATGCTTCAGAAGCAGGACAGGGAGGTACACATGGGTGGCCGTGTGCCTCCTGTCCAGGACCCATGCTGCAGAGAATGACCCTGGCCACTCTTCTGCCCAGCTGAAGCCCTGGCACTCGGGTGAACTGCCAGGGATCACAGGGGTGTGTCTGTGGGAGCAGGTGGYCAGCTGGGAAGCCTGTGCTTGGCTCCATGCGCCTAAGTGCCCATGAGACCAGAAAAAAGAGGCTGGATGTCACTGCAGAAGCCACAGGCCCTGTCTGCTCGGGCAGCCTGGGCAGCCGGAGGTAATCAGTGGCTTATTAACCCTCTGAGAAAGGGAGCTGACCCCACTGGGCCGCTTCCCGGAACCTCCCCCACATCCTTTATTCTGGGCAGCCCTGGCTCAGCATTCCATGCCCTGGGAGGCTTCCTCTTGCCCCCTGCCCCTGGCCCTGTCCCTTGGCACAGCCCCTCTAGTATGTTCTGTGATCAGCTCCAGGGGCATCAAACCAGCGCTCTCTTTGTAGGCTGGGGCTCCTTCTTGCCAAGTTTTCAGAGGACAACCCTGTTCCCCCTTCTAGGCAGGTATTCAGGCTAAGCAGATATTGGCTGGCCATGTTAGTAAGTCCCAGAGGACTGTGGCACCCCGCAGGCCAGACTCTTCTGAAATGGGASCATTTCCCTTCAGGATCCTAGGATTTCTCCTTCTGACTCTGTCCACTGAGGGGCTTACRGACATCCTCCTCTTCCCTCTCAGCTTTCACAATGTGCTCAGTGCAGGGGCTAAGATCTGACACTGACAGGTATAGGGACCCAGCCAAGAGGACTCCAGAAAAGAGGTGGGGAGAACTAGCCCCACACCCAGAGGCTGGTGTGGCCACACAGCCATCAGCAGAGCCTGTGTGAACCCATGCATGATCCAGGAGACTGTGACACTGTCCATAGGTCCAGATCCGTGCAGCTGAGGGTACACAGTGTGCTACTGGGCATGTGGGTGCGAGTCCCTTGAGACTTACTAATGGACCCAGCAGATATTTGCCATGCCAAACACTGTTCTTGGAGCTGGAGAGATGGCTCAAGTCAGACGACCAGCGGCTTGTCCTCGTGAAGTTTCTATTCTGGCATGTGAGCTCCTAGTCTATATGGACTATGGCTGGTTGCACTATGACCAGGGAGCATGTGTGTGTGTGTGTGTGTGTGTGTGTGTGTGTGTGTGTGTGTGTGTGTCTGGCACGGGCTCACCTACTGAGGAAAAGGGCAGGAGGTAGGGGACCAAGGTAATGAGTCAAGCTAAGAAAGCACTTTTGCACAGGCAAACTATGACTACTAACCTCTCACCATCTGGAGGTCCTCAAGGCGATGCTCCTGCCACACCCCTCCCCTTGCCAGCATGGCTTCTGCCCTCATGCCACCAGGATAGTGCCATGCCTTTGAGCCAAGGCATTATTAACACCAGGAGGCGCCTTCAGAATGCAGGGGTCGCTAGAAGTGCTAAGGTGGACCTCCCTCCCCACCTCCCATAATGCACAGGGGCCTCCGCCGCCATGACCTGAGCATTTGATGGGAAAGAGGAAGGTTTGGGACTGGAGCCTCAGGTTCAGGCAGTTCTCAGACTCCTCCACTGTCTTCTCCTTGGTCTGTCACCATTCAGCCCAACCAGAGGAGGCAAAATGAAAGCAAACAACACGCTGCTGAGGCCAGTCTTTACCACGGCCCTGGAGACTTATGATGTAAGAGGTTTGCCAAGGAAAGAGGGAGCTGGGATTAGAACCCACTTAATCCCAGGGCCCAAGCCCCCAACACGTGTCACTAGATAAGGGTCCAAGGAGGGCTTTCTGAGAGGACAGCAGGACTTCCACTCAGCCTGTCCAGTTCTTCACTTAGTCCCCTGGGAAAAAATTCTCAGGATGCACCTAAAGCAACTCACAAGCAAAGGTTTATTAAAGGATGGCAAAACAAAGATATTCACACCTTGAAGGCAGAGTGTGACACCCTTTGTCCCTGAGAAGAGATGAGTGATACACCTAGGACTGACCTGACTGTGTATAGGATTTTCCTGGGAAGACAAGTGCAGATTCCCAGGCAAGCTTTTGTGTAAACCAAATCCCATGTCAAAGATTTGATATTTGGAGCTCAAAATGTTCCTTCTTGTTTAGAGTCTGGCCATAAACTGTGTGGGCACATTGTGTGGGTCTTTGAATCTGGTGACATCAAAGTTGATTATGGTTTTGTTCTAATTGGTCTGGTACAAACATACATGGAAGTTTTGTTCATCTAACTAAAGAGAGAAGCATGAGCGGTCTTTTTTAAATTTTTTTTTTTTTTTTTTAGTTTTTGATAGACCTTTATTTTATTTATTTGTATGTGGTGCTGAGAATCGAACCCAGTGCCTCACACATGCTAGGCAAGCACTCTATCACTGAGCTAAACTCCAGCCCACCTTTATTTCATTTATTTATTTTTATGTGGTTCTGAGGATCGAACCCAGCGCCTCACACATGCTAGGCGAGACCATTTCCCTCTACCACTGAGCCACAACTCCAGCCCCATGAGCGGTCTTTTTATAGATCCGGGTCTCCATCTAGTATGGCTCTCTTTTCCTCTCTCCTTGAAAGCCCCCAGGGACCTGGTTACCTGCCCCAGTTCTGTTGGCCCAGAAGGAAGTACAAGGGCTGAGGCTGAAGACCCCAGGAGGGACTAGGGTGGACAGAGGTGGGAGGGAGGGGCAGGAGTGAGGGGGGAGTGAGTTCCAACTTCCCTGAAAAACTGGGGTGAGCAAAGCAGCCTGGGTTAAAGATGGGCACCCAGAGAAGCTGGGAGAGTGGCCAGTCCCAGACAGCCCTGGGAACTCTGGCCCAAGGCAGGGTGCCATGGCCATCTCAGCTCCTCCTCCAATATGTCCCAACTTGTTAGACACTGTCCCCTCATCCTGTGCTGGCTCCAGTATCCTTCCCATGGACAGCGGCACTGTCCATTCCCCAGAGCCCACGGCCTGAGCCAGGCTAAATAAGCAGGAGTTGGGGGTGTGCCCTCTACCCCCCACCCCTCCACCCCGCTCTTGAGACCTGGGCGGGGCTGGAGGCCACTCAGGCCCTGCTGGCCGCAGCTATCTCAACAAGTGTTTTTCCAGATGTGCCTCATTCCAGGGAGGGCTGGCTGTTCCCAGGATGGTTCATGCACCATCTCCACAGAGACCAGAGGTGGGTGGGTGGACAGAGTCCCTGATGCTGGTAAAGGATCCAAATCTCAGGCTGTGTGAAGAGAAGACACCCATGGGTGTGGCCATGGCTGTCACCAACCTAAAACTTCTGTTGAGTGCAGGACAGAGGGGCCAGCGGGGAATGGAACCTATTTCTGAACCCAGCAGGGATTTCTTGCCCACAAGCCCGGTTATGTAAAGCAATGACTTCATTCCCTCTGGGAGGCCCACCAAGAAGATGGAGTGGGGGGTGGGAGGGGACACAGGCAGCAGAAAGTGTGGCCAGCCAGTCACCGTCTGCTCACCAACAACTTGGATGCGTTTTCTAGAATCACTTTCCTGGATCGGGGCAGAGAGCAGTGATAGGAAATGGGAAGACTAGACAGTCCCCACGGGTGGTCAATATCAGAAAGCTGCCCACCTACTGAGAATCCTGGCCAAGGCCTGACCAATCCTGCTCTCTCTGATAACCTCTTTGACAGGGCACTGCTTCTATGCAGCCAGGCAGCCCTGCCCCTCAGGAGGCCATGGCCATAGCAGAAACTTAGTACCAGTCTG